AGGCCGATGCCTAACAGCAAAGGGAAGTAGTGCCGGCAGCTAACCCGCTCCTACCCTGCAGCCGGGTGTCTCATCTGTCACCTTGTTCAGCCTGCAGCCTTCTTCCCCGCCTGTGATCCAGGCAGATCAGACTGGGGTCCCTCCTGGACCAAGAAGATGGGTGCTACCAAGAAAACAGGCTGAGGAGCACCCACATTACCACGCCTCCCTGGCCCAGGCTTCTCCTGCCAGAAACAGCAGGAAGCAGCCAATCCCCAAATGTCACACCACAGAGAGTTCTTATGCAGCTGACCCAGTGAGGGCCGGGACCTCCTCCTCTTTGTCGCGCCCGCCCCCCCCCCCCTGCCCACTCACTCATCCATCCCCAGCTCTAGCCACCCACACACGTGCACAATATAAAAGGTGCCAACCTCGGAGGGGAAGGCCAGGAGAGACCCAGCCCAGGGACCCTTCACTCGTTCATTCAACAAGTGTTTATTGAGCACCTGCTACGCGTCAGGCACTGATCCGGACATGGCCGTGCCGCGGCGACCAAGACAACGGGGTCTTCTTTGTCATTAGGGAGCCTCCTTTCTGGTAAAAGGAGACGGACAACATGACCCCCCTGATGGGGAAATCGGGCTGGTGGTGTGATGGACAGCAGAGGAGGGGCGATGGCATGGGCCTCGCTGAGGATGTGAATGAAAGCTGTGCCCTCACAGAGGAGACGAAGCCAGCAAGACGAGGACACAGGAAAGAGCATTCTGGACAGCGCGGAGCCGGGCCTCCGCAGGCCGCTCCCAGCTCTGGGGGCCAGTCCCACCCCCTCCCCCACCCGCCCCGGCACCCGCTCCGGTCGTCCCCAGGCCTCAGTCACTCCACAGTGAATGCATTTTGTCCTGACGGACAAGGAGCACAACACCAAAACAGCCAACTATTTTTATCTCCAGATTAATCACAAAAGGCTAACGTTTCCACCTTCCCTGTGATTAAAAATTAGGAGACCAAACTCTGTAGTGGTTCGGGATAATAACCAATCCTGTGAGGTCTTCATGAATAATGCATGTCCAGGCTCAGGCTGCTCCAGGGCCCCTCCTCTCTCTCCACTCACCCCCCCACCCCAACACCACCAGCGCTTCAGCTCTGGGTCCCTCCGAAGAAGAGAGAGGGAATGAGTCCCCCTTCCGTACATGGGGAGCTGCAGCTGCCAGAAACTGTTGATTTCTATTCAGCCTGTGGGCCCCCCAACTTCCTCCCTCCTCCCCACCCTCCCCGCACACCCCAGCCCCATCTGCACCCCCCCACACCCCATCTGGTGTGCAGCCAGGCGAAGGCCAATCAATAATGCATAGCTCCACGAATAACCGGCGTGATAACCGCTTATTTGGGAAGATGTAATCAGCACCCATTCTGAGGGTGGATGTGTGGGTGCGTGTGTACCCACCCTGCAGCCCACGCCCCTCTCCGCTCCCCTCCCTCCCTCCCTCATCCAGTATTCCCAGCGCAGCACTGCACAGCAGGGAAGGGAGGGCTCTGCCCAGCACACTCTTTTGTTTTTTGGAAGGCCTGCTCAGTCCCTGCACTGTGAACCGGAGTAATTACGAGCAGGAAACAGAGTCCAGAGACAGTCGTTTCTTTAAACTTGGCCACACGGGACCCGCCAGGAGCTCAAAAGCCCCACTGCTCTGGGTCCAGCTCCAGAAACCGGTCCAGCTGGTCAGTGTGTGGCCTTGGTTTTCAAGACCTCTCCCAGAAGATTGTAAGCTGTGGCCTGGCTTAAACCACTGTCAGACCCCACGAATGTCCGTGCTGGAGAGAACGTTCCAGATCCCCTGTCCACCTCTCACGTTTATTTATTTTTTAAACAGAGAGGAAAGGAGAGGGAGAAAGAAACACATCAATGATGAGAGAGAATCACTGATCAGCTGCCTCCTGCATGCCCACTCCACACTGAGGATTGAGCCCAAAACCCAGGCATATGCCCTGACCAGGAATCGAACCGTGACCTCCTGGTTCATAGGTCGACACTCAACCACTGAGCCACGCTGGCCAGCCGACCTCTCCCATTTCAGATCTGAGGAAATAAAACCAGAAGGGGCTGCTTTGGGCCTCGCTGTGTGTCCGAGGGCGCTGTCCACCCTACTGCGCCCATGGGCTACTTTATTCCACTCCTAAAGCTGCCGGTGGTTCTTTTCCGTCTTCCTGGCCCTGGGCAAGCTCGGCTGGAGCCCCTGCACCCTGGACCCCTCCTGGGGAGAAACCTGCCCCCACCCAGGGAGGGCGCAGGAGCCCAGCCCAGCCCTCCCTGCTGGAAGGCCCGGCCCGTGGAGACAAAGCTCCCTCTATGGCGAGTAGAACGCCCACCCCCAGTTGTGCAAAGCCCTCATTAGCCTCCCTGGGCTCCCGGGCCACACCCGCATCCACGAGGCCTCCGGCAGTAATGAGGGGGTACAGGGTGTCTTGATTGTCCAGCCCACACCCACCATCTGCCTGTGCCCAGGCCCCCCGGGAGGCTGGGCAGGGTTAGATGAGGCTGACTTCCTCCCTGGGCCAGGATCCGGGCGGGCGGAGTCCTGGGGCTGATGAGGACTTCTGGATGCCCTGAGGGTTTGTTCTTTCTCAGGAATAGAAATTGGGGGGTGGGGGGTTGGTGCTCACAGGGCTGGGTCCTGAGCCAGGCCCTGGAGGCAGGAAGGGAGGGCCGAGCGCTGGCTGAAGGGGACCTGAGCCGCCTGCTGTTCCCTGGGGGGCCCGGGGTCCTGGGAGAGCCCCGATGCAAGAGCTCCAGGGACTGAGAAGGAAGCCAGGCAGGTTGCGGGGCGCGCCCTGGGGGAGGGTGGAGGGGAAAGCAGCACCTGTAGGGGAGGTGGGGTGCCTGGAGCCCTGGAGCTCTGAGACCGCCTGCCCCAGCCCCCAGCGCAGAGGCTTGCACAGGGCCTGGTGGGGGGACAGGGGGGCGATGGACATTCTCGGTCTCTGGGTCCTTGTTCTAGGGCCCTAGCTTGTCCCCCAGCTACCCCTGGATCTTTCCCTGGCCGACTGCAGTCAGCCCCTCCCAGCCCCCAGAACTGAGGTCCCAGCCCCTCCAGCAAGGAAGAGCAGGGATCCCAGGGCGTCTCTGGGGAGAGCTACCCTCCGTGGACTGTCCTGGGAGAGGCAGGAGCCTCCGAGGCCACACCTCCGGAGTGTCCACTGCGCTGACGTGAGAAGCGGCTCTGTGACGTGGACCAGCCACCTGAGGTCTCTGGGCCGCTTCTCCAAACGCTGGCCACGCGTCATCGTAAGCGCCTGCCCTGCCTCCCAGGGTCATCATGGGCTCACAGGCGCGGCTCCATGGGCCTTAGCGAGTGTGTATGGGACCCCGCTAGGCACAGGGCTCTGCGCAGGGCGCCGAGGGAGATGTCGGGTCCTCTGGCACCCGGGTCCCCAGCAGACAGCCAGCAGGAGAGGTTCGTTCTGACTGGGGCGAGGGAGCTGGAGGATAAGTGCTAAGGAGATGCCAGGGCTTCGCAGCCCCTGAGCCGCTGTCTCGGTCTTGAAAGGCTGCCTGTCACCTGTCCCCCGAGAGGAAGGGGCCGCCCGGTGCTCTCCAGGTGTCAGAGGTCGGCTCCCAGCCCTGGCTCTGCCACTCCCTGGCAGCGTGACCTTGAGCCTGACCCCTTGAGCTGAGCCTCGTTTCGACATGTATGCAGTTGGGATCATAATCATGTTTTTTTTTTTTTTTTTTAATATATTCTATTGATTCTTTACAGAGAGGAAGGGAGAGAGATAGAGAGCCAGAAACATCGATGAGAGAGAAACATCCATCAGCTGCCTCCTGCACATCTCCCACTGGGGATGTGCCCACAACCCAGGTACATGCCCTTGACCGGAATCGAACCCGGG